TTTATCGTGGCATCTATTCTTAATTAAATGAATTGAATTTATTTTATTTCAGTCAGTCATTTGTGTGTATGCAGGTGTGGGACATTCCAAATGTTCCAAAAGTGAGCACTCCACGAATGGACAACAGTTTGCCAGGGTAAAATAAAACATTGTCAACATATTATTTTGTCCCACAAGAAGCAGAATGTTTTAACAGTACAGTAGTTTGAATATATTTGTTGTTTACCTTTATCAAACCTCTCAGGCTCCCACAACCAGCGTCTGATCGGGTAAGACTAATTAAAAATGTAATTATACCATGTAGGTTTGAATTTGTGAACATGAAATCAATAAATACCTTTGTGTGCTAATGACACTGTCATTAGATCAACTGCACTTATTTCCTGGTTAAAAATAGGATGGAGCACCAACCCCTCCATGAAGAGGTCCAGTCTGCCCCGGGTCAGAACAACTTCTATAGGTAAACGATGTTGACAGTTGCATCGTGACACAGTTGTTTGCTGTGTATCTTTATTTTACATTTGTTTGTTTGTATAGCCTCCAATCACAGTGGGTAACATTGCCAGGAAGCAGAACAATTATACTTTCATACATTTCCAAATGACACCCACAACATCTGACATCTTAGTGAAGATGATACAAAAAACACACACAAATATTTTTCTAAGATCAGATATTGTTTGTTGCATCCATTTCAAATGTTTACAAGGATTGTGCAGGAGTATGACAACAGTGCTGTTGTCAGTTTAGAACCCAATGTATTGAAAAAAAAAAAAAGAGGATCAACATCCTTTTGTAAATATGACTGTCATGCATATATTTGAAAATAATTATTCAACTGTCTTCTCACTGCAGCAACTACACAAATGTGTATGCACTTATCATTATTGATAGCCAGTCTGAGCCAGAAGACAAAATGGAGCAAAGGTATTAATTGTTACTATTACCACTTAATTGTTTCTATTCTATACTGTAAATATTATTACTAGCTTCATCATTTACTATTACAATACATCACTTTGTCTTTCCCAGCACAGAATACCTGACTGCGGAGGACATTGCTGCAGAACTCTCTGCAAAAAGAACAAATACATCTTGCAGCAGGTTCAATATTAATAGAGCCAATGTGTGGGATGGAGCAATCAGCGGCTTCAAAGGTGCCTCATTCGATCCCTCTCATGAGATGTCAGTTAAGTTCACTGATGATGAGGGACAAACTGAGGATGGAGTGGACACTGGTGGTCCCAAGCGTGAGTTCCTGACCCTCCTTATGGAATGCCTGAGAATATGAAGAAAACATCACGTCAGCAACTGTTTGTGCCCCATGGCGGTGTAACTTTCCCAGCCGCTCACTGTCTCAAAATTTGATTCTAAATTTATAATGTTCTCTATAAAGATAGAGCTAATACACAGTTATGAATGTATAATATAAGCTGTGTTGTGTATTTAATCATGCATTGGTCTACCATTTAATGATGGCTTCTACATATTTCACAGAAACAGACAATGAAAACATGTGTCCTTCATGCTGATAACTAGTGTATGCACCTGCCAATTAGTATTCTAAACAGAGTAGTGTGTTGAATCCTTATTTCTTGCATTTGAAACAGATAAAATACAAAAAAGTGAACTTACTGTTGTGTTCAACTTCTGCCAAAAACTGTACATGTTTGCCACAGGAGCTACAGAACACTTGAACTGTCCCCAGATGTTGGCCACAGAAAGGACAAAACATGGCAGCCTGAAAACACATGCATTGATGTAGTAAATCCATTTAATCAAGTCAATCAAAAACACATAGTCTAAATAGTGGTTAGCTAAATAAATAGAAAGATACATCATGTTTACCGTTGAATCTGTGTTTTGTCTCTCTCTCTCCTTGAATGTCTTCTCTATATTTGTTCTTGAGCATGTCTAATGCACACTATCCTGTCATTACTTTGTCCCTCTTCACATGTTGTCACTTCGCGGTTCTCACTATGGCCCGGCCTATTTGCCTGCACTTGATTTGTCATCTCTTTTAATAATGTTCTTCCCTCACTTTATGTTCTCTTCACGTGAAGCTCTCCTCTCCTCAGCTGGTGTAGTAGTTAGGCACGCTAACGCTAGCTATATAAATATGACGCTCTATGTATAAAAACAAAACGTACCTTTTTATATCTTTCTCCACTCTCTCTGAACTTTCTTTCCTCCGATTTCCATCACTCTTGTTCGTTCTCTCTATGTCTGGTCAGACATCAATCTGTTCCACGTAGCGCGCCCCCTAGAGGCCTGGAGCACTTCCGGAATGTTTTTTTTTTGTATGTGTTTTGGGATTTGTACGTGCTTTGGACTTTGCATATCGTTTTGGTATTTGCAGCGTTTTTTTGTTGCGTTTGTTTTCGGGGGTTTGTGTGTTTTATTTAGTTTGCATCATTTCTGTAAATGCAGCGTTTTTCTGTTGTATTTGTTTTCAGGGTTTGTTTGTTTTTCATTTCATTATTTGCAGGTGTTTCCTGCTTATGTTTGCGTTTCGGGCCGTTGTTCCGCGTTTGCACCTGCCGGCCACTGTACTAATGTGATTGAAAGGGGATTGGTAAATACTCGCAGGACCGTTAAATGTCATCATCAAGGCAAGGAAACCCAACGGTTTTCATGGGTACTTCTGTGTCATCCCTTTCCAACACAGCCTCAGCAGGTGCAGAGCTTGGAAGTATATGGGGACATCACAAGCACTTACACTGAGAGGACAAATAGACAAATCACTGTATGCCTTGTCAACGCTGATGCCCTTGTCCAACTCAGAGCCAAAAGAAGAACCAACATGTGTCGAGGTCATTAAAGGCTACAACGGACCAGGAGTTGTCTGACAAAAGGGAAATCACAAACTGGTGGCAAACAGTCAGCGGTGGAAGAAGTACTCAGATATTGTACCTAAGTAAAAGTACTGCATTTGAAAAGTAAAAGCTATAAGCATCAAATGTACTTAACAAAGTCAACAAGTATAAGTAAAACTGGTTTTAATTTCATAATCATGTATCAGATTACTGGATTATTATGATTATTGATGCATTAATGTATCACAGCTAAAGTGGAGATCAGTTACTTTGAATACCGCTGGATATCTTAACCCGTCGTGGTATCATAAATTATGTATGAGTTTATTTATGATTTGGAGCTAATCATTTGAATCTACTAAATTACTAAAGCTGTCAGATACATAGAGGAAACAGAACACTATTGGCTCCCAAAAATGCTTCAAAGTAAGAACATATACTCAAAAGTAATAATTCAAATAATAATAGTAGTAATAACTTCTATGTAAATAGCACTTTTTAAGGTAAAATAGGAAAAACGACAGATTTATCTCAAGAAGTGCAACGAAAATGATTGCCCAACATTTCCTTTATTTCCTTTAAAATGTGTTTTAATGTGAATCGTGATATACACGGACGGATGGAGATGTGTTGATTCTGTACATCTGTCTGTCGCCGTGTGCCCGCAGGGGGATGGAGGGGTGGAGGCTGGCAGGATGCAGCTTCAGCTCAGCCTCCCCATCCCTCCATCTCCATCCTGTCACGCTGCTGTGCGTTATGACGCGGGGCTGCATTACGTGAGACTGTCGACTCAGCACCGGATCTTGCTTATGTAACGCTGCTGCAAGAGGAGAGGAGCGGAGGACTGACGGATGGCTAATTTACTGATAAATAACGGCGAGTTGGCTGATGTCTGAGCGGCTGCCGGCGGAGAGAACAATGCTGGGTGTAGGTCGCCGGGCCGCAGTGTGAGAGCCGGGTCTGGGCACCAGGGGCCTGTCCCTCCGCACAGTCTGCAGCCTGCGGAACATTCTGATTTTTCTGCAGATAAGAGGTTGAATTGGTCTCCTTTCTGCAGGAATAAACCAATGCGGGTTTGTTTTAGAAGAGAAACGCCTTCACATTCTGATCCTCACCATCCTTTCTGTACTGATCCGGCGGACAGCGCTGTGATAAACATGGCGGGTCCGGAGCAGTGCCAGCAGCAGGTGGAGGAGCAGGCGGAGCGCATAGATGATGCTGAGATGGCTCTGCAGGGCATCAACATGCTGCTCAACAACGGCTTCAAGGAGAGCGACGAGCTCTTCAGGAGATACAGGTAACACATGTTAATGGGGGGGGGGGCAAACTCAGACCAGGGTCCACATTCAGCACCCTGATCTCAAGTGGGCCAGTAAAATCATAGCAAAAATAACCTATTAATAACCAAAACTCCAAATGTTTCCCTTTGTTTTATTGCTGACAAGTACTTTGTGAAAGATAGATAGATAGATAGCCTAGATAGATAGATAGATAGATAGCCTAGATAGATAGATAGATAGCCTAGATAGATAGATAGCCTAGATAGATAGATAGATAGATAGATAGATAGATAGCCTAGATAGATAGATAGCCTAGATAGATAGATAGATAGATAGATAGATAGATAGATAGATAGATCCTTTGTTAATCCCAAACTGGGAAATTATTTTGCAGGTGTATACAGGCCCTATGTTTGACACCCCTGTGTTTCAGTATGTTGCAGGTACAAAAAGATAGGCTACTGGAACAATGTAATATGTGGTTACTTCAAGGTGGAGCACATGAATACAAATGAATGAATGGTCATTAGGTGTTAAATGTTAAAGCCTGTTCCTCATGAGTGAGGCTTCCAGGTATCTCCCCTTCAAAGTGCGTCTCAAATGTTTCGCCACCATCAAAAAGAGAATATACAGACTGTAACCACAAGTATTTATAAATATGTATGGCTATTTGTTAAGCTAATGGTTACTTTTAGCATCTATTTATGAAAACACAGTTATATTTACTTTGTATTTTTAAATGTTATAGTGTGTAAAATGTGTAAATACAGTATTGACATTTCATTTCATTTTAGTGCCGTCTCATTGCTGCAACCTCTGCTTTTATCAGTGCTTTTATTTATGTGTGTCTATTTCTATTACTGCAGTGAGAGATGCCAAGGAAATGTCATTGAGATGTGTGTGTATGTATGATGAGAATAAAGATATTCTGATTCAGATACAGTATATATGTCCCTTGAAATAATTTGACATAGTCTATTATCTTCATTTCTATAGTAAAGAGAAATGTTTAAGAAAGATAATGTAATACATACTAAAAACATCTGCAGATTCTAAAAAATAATCCATCATCAAATTCAAATTGTAATACTATTTGAACTATGACACCTTGGCAGAGCCCAACTTGAGCAACCCTGCTGTAGACCCTCTGGTTGAATGGACAGATGATCCATCATGGAGACCACTCATTGCTCTCTGCACCTTTCACAAGAATATAGCTTACACCTATTTGCTGCTTTTTCTAACCCTGTCTTGGACTCAGAGATCTTAAATGAAGTAATTACTTCCCTGCACCAGACGGATATTTTTTTATTGCAAATATTGATTCTGTCAAACAAACGATTGTAGTCCGACCCCTGACCTCAGTCATGACAGCTCAACAGGAGCCCTGTGGCTCCTTTCATATACTTACATTTCTCAACAGAGTATTCAATTCAGTTGGTGTTGTCTACTGGATCTCTCCTCTCTCTCCTCTCTGTGTAGGACCCACAGCCCGCTGATGAGCTTTGGGGCCAGTTTCGTCAGTTTCCTGGTGAGTTTCCTCTCAGTTGTTGGTTTGTTTTTGTGATTCCTCTGGCCAGAGGAATCAAAACAAAACAGTATGATAAAAAATATCGGATGTTAAAATGGATGTTGGAAAATGATTTGTAATGAACTGGTAACTGATGTTTTGGCAAGGCCAAAGCTTATCTTGCTTTCTTTTGGGTACACACCATTTTTCTTTATTAACACCATTCATTTTTGTAACAACAAAACCTTTAATAAAAACCATTTCAACATTTCAGTTAGTATATTGGCATATTTAATGTCCCCTCCAAATGAATGCAAAAGGGGAAAAAAATTACATTAATGAAAATAATGATTATATTTGGTACATCAGCATAGCATATAGTAAGATTTATAGTTTATGAAGAAAAACTCCAAGAATCACCTTGGATAACCCAATCTGTCTAAGTGTTTGCTACCATTGTCACCACGGACTTCCTCTCTGCTGCTTTCCCACATTAACATAATGGATGCATCACAACAGCGCGCGCACACACACACACGCACGCACGCACGCACGCACGCACGCACGCACGCACGCACGCACGCACGCACACACACACACACACACACACACACACACACACACACACACACACTCTCTCTGTCGCCTCGTGATGACACACACACACACACACACACACACACACACACACACACACACACACACACACACACACACACACACACACACACACACACACACACACTCTCTGTCGCCTTGTGATGACCCACACACACAAAAACACATCATGAATCCAGAGATGATGTCATCCTCGGTCCCCAGATAGTAATTGGCCCTGAAGGCTGTGGGGGTGTGACCGGACGTGCACAGGGATATTCAGTTAATGCAGCGTACAAGAAAAAGAAAACATTGTCACTCATATATCTCTACATTTTGCACCTTGTATACATGACTATGTCCTCACTCATTAATGATTCTAAAAGGTTTTAGTAAAACATGATTCTGGCATTATGTGCAGCATCTCTCTGACTCCAACACACAGCTGTACGGATGTGGCTGTGTTCCTCTGTGCATTGTGATGCAGAAAGAGCCCTTTGTCCTTTTCAAGACAGTTACACTCCTCTCCTCCTTTAACAGGACATCTGTTTGTAAACCAGCTCAAGCATAGCTCTGTTCAACAAGACCAAATGTTCTATCCCCACTTAGGTGTTGTAATATCTGGATAACAATATCTATCACAATAGCATACCAATAGTGTTTGTCTGGCAATGCAATACATTCATGCATACATCTAAATAAATTACCCAACTGTAAAGCCTATTTTCTTATTTCCTGCTGTAAACTGACAATGTTTAAATGGGTTAAGTCAATTGTTAATGTAACTCTACCAGGGTATTCCTATAAGCAGAATTGTTGGGTGATGAAAATCTAGCACACTGCTGTACTTAGCATCAGCAGTGTGTATCCACATGGACCATCACACATGATAATCCTCCATCATTCTGCAGAGAGCCGCGTCCTGGGCTGTGTCTGTGTTAACAGAGCGTTCAATAAACCGGATCGTGAGATAGATTAAAGTTGCCTGTTGGAGTCCGCTTTGTTCACTGCATTCAAATCAGTGGTAATATAAAGTGTGATGTAAAAACAAAATGAAAATCTTAAAATGATACTCCATCAAAATATTTGACATCAGATTTTCTGAGAAACTTGAGTTAGCATATGCTTGATATGAGATTTCATCACAACATGATTTTATTGAGAGATGTAATTGATGCTGCATTATCGCCAAGAATAAAAATGCAGTACATTGTTTCTTCTTAAAGATATATTAGAACCAAACCTCTTCGTTGCATTTTGATTCAGAACGCCATGATGACATTTGAGGAGGAGAAGATGCAGACGGCCTGCGACGACCTGAGGACCACGGAGAAGCTGTGTGAAAGCGACAGCGCCGGGGTCATCGAGACAATCAGGAACAAGATTAAAAAGAGTGTAAGCTCAAAATATAAAAAAATAAATATAATATATAAACATTACACATGGCATTAAGACACCTTCACAGCAAACTGTTGTGTCTGCTGCCGTCCCGCACATCAGACTTAACTCCTGAGTTCTGTGCCATCACAGCTTCATAACATTCATCTGTTTACATCTCACATATGCAACTATTATTACAATTAGCAGTATTTTGATTTCACTGTACAGCATTTCACATTACATTGTATTTTCAGCTCATCTTATTCTATTTAACTTAGAGTTACCTTCTCCTGCATTACTCAGTTGCCCATTCGTCTTGCGACATTCTCTTGTGCTATTTTATTTCTACTTTGTTTCTTCTTGCACTATTTGTATTTGGTTTTTTTCATTTCTTTTATGTCTTATACATATCTATGTTGCATTGTTGGAGGAGCCTGTGAGGTTTTTCATTGCATAACTACACTATCTGTGCATATGACAATGACGCTGTTTGAACCTTTGAACTTTGAACCTTAAAACTAAACTTCGTCAAAGTTGAGGGGCAAGAACACCAATTGAGGTTTTCCACGTCGATTGCCGCCACAGCAGGTTGCTGTTCAGATAACAAGGTTTATATCCTCTGCATCGTGCCTAATGATGCAGGCAGCGGTGAGATCATACCAAGCCCACTCACAGATTAAATTATTGCTTCTGTGAAATGTAATCAGCAGACAGAGTGAGGAGTGTGGGGGCCCCGGGTCATTCAGGAAACCCTGCCAGCCTCTGGGTAAAGTGGCATATTTATAACGCATATTGTGTGTGTGTGTGTGTGTGTGTGTGTGTGTGTGTGTGTGTGTGTGTGTGTGTGTGTGTGTGTGTGTGTGTGTGTGTGTTGCAGATGGACTCACAGAGGTCGGGCGTGGTGGTGGTGGACCGCCTGCAGAGACAGATCATCGTTGCTGACTGTCAGGTGTACCTCGCCGTGCTCTCCTTCGTCAAGCAGGAACTCTCAGGTGATCAAATCAAACAGACCAGAGAGTGTGAGCTTAAAAGAACAGTTTTTTGTGGGGGAACTTCTCCATATTCAGTAAATTACCAATAGTAAAGAACGGTTGACACGCCCCCAGTTTGAAGAACCACAGACTGTATTAATAAATAATCAAGTGAGGAAACTGATAACTTGCAATATACTCTTAATAACTGAAACAATTAATTACATTTGTACATGAGTATGTGTACTACTCCAGTGGTTCCCAACCAGAGGTACGGGGACCTGTAGGGGTACTTGCAGGGATTGCAGGGGGTCTGTAGAAAAATAAGGGAATGCAATTTATTTCCACACAAAAAACATTTTTAAATAAGCCTGGTGTCGGTGGTCTAGTTCTGCTTCCGCAAGTAACAGTTCCTCCCGGGATGGTGTGGATTGTAACACCACTGTAGTTCGTGTTCACACTGTGGCGCCGCACATAGCAATTAGCTTACATTAGCTGCAAAGTGGCAGTAAGAATGGATGCATGATTAGCCAGGGATAAACATACAGCCGGCGGTACCGTCGCTGCTGAACCGGGTTTAGGAGGCTGGCCAAGACCTGGAATATAATTATATGAAGCCATCCCTGCAGCGGCACCAGAACACCAAACAAAACAGGAGTGTGGGTAAAAAGTTGGGTTAAATACAATTACAAAGGGTTTAATACAAGACAGATGAGTGAGGGGGTTGTTATGGAATGGTGACCAGCTCAAGGGGTACACGAGACAAAAAAGGTTGGTCACCACTGGTTAGAGATCCCCTAGGTTGGTTTAATCACATCAATTATTCTAAAGTTTATTGTTTCCACTTTCAGCTTATATCAAAGGAGGCTGGATTCTCCGTAAGGCGTGGAAGATGTACAACAAGTGCCACAGTGACATCAGCCAGCTGCAGGCGGGCAGTGAGCAGAGGTCCTCCCTTCACCAGGAGCCCCTCACCACGGACAACGCCAACCACAACGCCCCAGTGGAGAGCTGCGTGACGGCCGAGGCCCTGGACCGGCTCAAGGGCTCCGTCAGCTTCGGCTACGGCCTCTTCCACCTGTGCATCTCCATGGTACCGCCTCACCTGCTCAAGATCATCAACCTGCTGGGTTTCCCCGGCGACCGTCACCAGGGCCTGTCCTCCCTCATGTATGCAAGCGAGAGCAAGGACATGAAGGCACCACTCGCTACGTGAGTAAACTTCCTTTTAATTATTATTCAGTTTTTATAACAGAGACACAGCATTGGTGCTGATGGGGGAACTGAACTGAAAACCATAATAAATGTTACCATCAAACTTCCCCAGTTCATTTATTATATTAAGACAATTATTAAACTTTTATCATGTTTAAATATGCAAACGAGGAATTATCTTATGAAATATGTGATTATTATTATTATACATTTCCGCAAACATTAAACTGACCTTTGGATGAAGCATGGTTCAAAATTATTGTTTTATGTTGTTGCCATATTACAGAAGAAGCTTTCAGAATCATTGTGTCACTCCAAAAATCTGAAAATCATAAATCGCCATATTTTCAAGGAATATAAGTGAAAATAAATCGGGCTATTAACAAGATTTAACCAAACCCCTCAACAGAATAATGATATGAATGAGTGGAGATTTCTGTTTTTCAGTTTTTCTACTCTTAGTATTAGAAGAATGTTATTTTAGGAAACAGTCCTTAAAAATATGGATTGTAACACATACTGGTTAAAATGTTAAAATATAAGGCATTATCTAAAGCTTACTTTTCAAAAATTGCACCTAAATATG